ACGCTCAGATCGTTCAAATCGTTCAAATCGCGCTGCTCTAATCGCGCTTGAGGCACTTCCCGACGCTGATTGAAGTGCGCCCACCATAGACTTTGTATGTAAACCTGATGCTCCTGATGCTGAAATCGCGTTCGGTGTGAACGCACCATTAGAGGCGTCTAAGCTCTTTGAGACAAAAATCTGGCTCAAACAATGATGTACTGGGCCAGGGATGGGAAAAAAAGAGTCCCCCCGACRTATAAAATGTTGCCTGCAAAACCTCGTCCTGGCTGTGTGTTCATATCACGTCGGGGTCACCATACGAAGGAGTAATGATAAGACCACAGGAGCTGTGTTCAAACACCTCGTTCACTCAACTCCAACAGAGAACCAAACAGGAACACTTCTGCAGACTTTTTGTTTCAAAACATCCTGTCATCTGGGTGTGAGTAGAGCGCCCTGTTGGTCTGCCACACACATATCTACCATCCGTCAGGTTGTTTAATCCAATGTACAGTTATCTTAGTGTTACAACTCAGAGTGAAATTTAGGATCAATATCAGTCGGCGGTTCTGCCACCAAATGTTCTTCAACATTAACTTCTTCTTCTCCATCCAGAGGGGGTTTTTGCTCAGTGGAGTCGGGTTCCTGCAGGTCCATGACTTTCAGGAAGTCATAAAAGTCGAAAGCAGGAGGCCAGCTGTCCTCACCCAGTGTTCCTACAGAGAAGACAGAACATCTGGAATCACAACATACAGGATTTAAAGATACTGTAATCAGGTGCAGATTAATTTATTCTGGGTTATAATTTTCAGACGTTCTCTTTGTCACATTTGTTTTTRCTGCTTCTGCTAGTTGGAGATACACTGTCTGCCTGACCAAAACATAAARATCTCACTCTAACATTTCACTGGACCACCTTTAGCTTTGATCACAGCATCGTTTCCACAAGCTTCTGCACATGTTGACAAGTCCTCCCCTAATCGATGTGTGAAAGAAGGGAATCGCTGACTGAGCCTCCACGCTGCAGACAGGATGAATAAACACCGCATGTAGTTTACTTGTGTGGGATAAGTGAAGCATTCATTATTAATGAACGATGGGCCATTAGCCTGGAAAACACATTACAGGCCAGAACCAGTAATAACTGATTAAAAAGGATAAGAAACAAATGAATATATTAAGAGCTGTGTAGGTGGATGTAAGTGAAAGATAAGCCTGGATTATCTGGATTTCAAAGATTAAGATGTTTCACAAATCGAAACAGTGAAGCATCAGTTACATCCTGCTGGAGATCCAAACATTGGGCCTCATGCAAGAACATGTTCGTATTTTTATCCTAAATTTCTCTTACTTTTGTTCGTACAAAGGGTTCGTACGAACAT